GTTTTCACCCAACATCATGAATTGCCCCAACATATCTTTGCAGATTTGGATCCATTACTCCCCAAACCCTTTCCTTGGTGAGACTGGGTTGGCTGCTTTTCTCAACCTCATCTGCTTCTCCTTTCTCTCTCCCTGCACCCCCCACCCCCATGTGTTCATCGTTCTATGATATCAGTCTCCAAAGGTCCTCTGCCCTCTAAAGTCCCCCAGGCCCCCACCTTCCTCCTGGAAGGCCCACAGCACGACTCTGTCCCTTCCTGTGGGTACTGCTTCTATATGTCACTTATGTTCTAGCAACCTCTTAGCTTGGCTCTGAGCTCCCTACACCTTACCTTCTTTGTGTTTGTGCCTGGCACAGCAACTGTTTGCTAAGTGAATGCATGTGACTTTAATAAATTGAGCGATATTCATTGGAAAACACATTTAATTTCAAAGTAAACAAAGGTATTTGTACATTAAAGTATTTAATTAGTGAAACAATTAATTATCAGTGTAACAAGCTGAAAAATACAGCAACTTGATACAAGACTGAGGTAACAAAATACTCCACCAAAAGTCTAAAGAATCCCATGGAGGGTTGATGTTCAGTGATTATTGGGGGAGAGACAGTTCACAAGAATTAGAGAAAGTCCTTACACAACTGCATGCAGGAGGTCTGCCAGGAAAAAAGACAGCCCAGGAGAGGGCAACAGATTTAACAAGAAATGAATTAAAATGTAGAAACTCATTTTTAACTTACTTTGAAGAATACGTAAGAAATTGAAAACTACTCTCTATGCAACATTTTGCTTGCTAAAGTGAAAAACATGCATTTTGGCACGAAATTTATTAACGATTATACCTTACTAATAAATTAATTACTAGTGTTTCACTGTCAAATGGTCACAGTTGTTCAGAAATGGAAGAGAGTAATGGTTATAGAATGGGCAGATGACCCCTCGCGTTGGTGCTGCGAGCAGGATGTACTGCCCGTGGTGGACACACCCTGGTGCAGCCTAGGGCTGCGAGGAGGCCTGTGGTACAAGTTCTCAACACCCAAGAAAATGCAGCTTTTGCTCATGCTGTACTTGCTTGAACATTTTGAAATTAAAACTGAAAAACCTCTGAAGTGAATACTGTGAATATTCTGACCCGGCTCTCTCATTTCCACCTCGGAGTCCTCAGCGTGCCCAACCATGGTTTTGTGCCTGGCTGTGCTACCAACCAGTCTCTAGAATAACAACTCCATCTAGTCCTCCTTGCACCTGAACTTGCAGATCCAGAGGCTTTTCAGTCTGTTTGAAGCCTGTCTGAAGGAATTGGCCCAGGGTTTGTACCCAGTGGTAGGAGAGAGGCAGGGTCTTGCCAGAGGAGATGCCAGGGTGAGGATTATTCGTTTACTGAGTGATCAGCTCCGTGAGGGCAGGGAGAGGTCTTGTTCTCAGCCATTTACGGTATATCCCACATAGAGCCCGGCACATCGGAAGCACTCGCTAGAGATGTGAATGTAGCAATGAATGGGTGGATTTACGCAGAGAATCTGTTATTTCAAAGGGACTCTTGTAGTTGTTATTTTCTTCTTAAAACGTGAAATCACCCAACATGTCAGTATGAGGTGGGGCTGATTAAAGTCATTTATGAAGTCACACAAAATAAGTTAGATTGTGTGTTTAGCAGTGTTCACCTGGCTATAAGCATCAGTAATATGGGTGCAGACCTCTAGACTCCACACACGGAATGAAAGCACAGCTGGCTTGCACATGGCTTCCCATTTCCATGGACCTTTGTCTACGGGTAAAATGGGGTCCTAGAAGATCATGTCTGGCTTGGGAGGTGGGGGAACGATGATGAAAGAAATACTGGCAATCTTGATAAGAAAAAAAAAGCCTTATAAATTCACTTGGCAAGAGAAAGTGGGTTCTTCCCTAAACAGAATTGTACAAGTATCTTCCTCTGTAGTTTCCACAGCAGGACAGAGTGATGAGTGGGCTTGCTCAGGTCAGCGAAGGGAGGCCACACTCTCTCATTGGGCACACTCACAACAGTATTGCTACTGCTCTCCACCAAATCAACCCTCCATGAAGTATTTCAGTTGTCAGAGCGCAGCTGGCTGATCTTGAGTTACAAGATATGTTCAACCAGGAAGGGGCAAAAATTACTCCCAAGGAGAGGTGAGGAAGCTGTTTCATTATCATCATCATGATATCAGCTACTTTCTCCATAGTTCATAGACAGGATTCCATAATTTTCACTTTGGGGTGGCATGATCTGTTTGCTTTAAAAACAAAAAAGATAACAGCATATGCGTGCAAAACATACCACCTTCCATGGCTTCACAAACATTTATGCATTATGGACAGTTAAGGAGCAAAACACAGAAATGCCTCCGAATCCCCCCGTGCACTTGCTTCCTTTGGGGTTTGTGCCCGGTCCCCTCTGTCCCAGCCTCATGGACCTCCTTGCGACGTCGGACTCCCGTGTGGTTGCGATCCTTTGGCAGTCGTGAATTGAGTCACGCTTGGCCCCAACCCATACTGGGACAGCCAGTGTCTTCACACCTTGTCTCCTGGACTCCTCAAGGTGCTGACCAGTTCTGCAAGGCCTTTGCCGACAAGGTCTAAGCAGATTTTTTTTTTTAAGAGTCCAAGCTAAGAATGTTTCCAGGAGCAGATGTGGGGGTCAGTCTCCATTAGGGAGAAGACTAAACACTTTGAAAAGATTTGAAACTGTGCTATTTCAAATTTGGCTCAGAAGAAAGCATTTGTGAAAGATAAGAAAGAGGGCAGAAAATGATCTGATTTAGTGGAGCCTGAAATTCTGAGGTTTCTGGAATGACATCGCTATGATGTCATGTAAGGAAACCCAGGGCAGCTGAAGAGTGGAGAAGCGCATGGCGTGTAAGCATGTTCCGGTCTTGCATTTTCATCCAAACTTCAGACTTTTAAGACACGACCAGGCAGAATCAGATGCCATGGAGGCCAAAGTGTTAACACTGCATGGTTGTGGTGAGAGGTGTTTGTGGAGTGCTTGGTGTGTTCATGCAGCCAGCAGATGCTAACTTGAACAGTCGTTGATATGAAGTGAGCGCACGCATCCAGAGGTGGGCTGCATGTGGGTGTGCAAGGCACCAATGACCAAGGTTTGATGGCACCCACTTCACCACCCGGGGCTTCTCCTGGCACCAAAGGAGTCTAGACTTTGCTCCAAAGGAGGGGTAATTACTGAGCACAGTAAAAGCTCCACCACAAAACCCTGCTGACAATTACTTTCCTTGCCAATTCATTCAAATTTTCAGAAAAGTTATCACTGTTTGACCAAAATACAGTAGTGGGTCCTTTGGTTGTTTTTAAATGGATCAATTATAGATGACTGGTTAAGATGCTGTTTTGAAGCATCTTGCCCAGAAACTCTAAAGGGTAAGGTTTGAAGTTTGACCAGTGTGAGCTCTGAAACCAGGATAGCAACAAGGACCCCGAAATTTAGTCTCTTTCGGAAAATCATTTTAGGGTTTCCTTCTCAGAATTTGGACATCCAGATTAGGGCAAGAGAGAAAGACAGAAAGGAGCTATGGTGATAAAGCTACTGTAAATAAAGCTGATTTTTATTCATTATTTTGAATAAAAATGTATTTGTGCAAAATAAAAGTCACTTAAAAATATGACAAAGAATGACAGGTAGAGGATGTTGTTCGTATGAAGAGCTCTTAACTGAGTACAGAGCTTGGACTGTTCACACCCCAGGGCTTTGCTCTCTTGTCACCGTCATTAACAATTGTGTCCTCGGACTTGGATGATCAAGAACTTGCTGGTGACTGCGTTTGGGGGCAAGATTAGGGAGCATAAGGCCTCAGTGTTGCTCAGCTCCCAGTGTAATCTGGAATCCCAGTGGGCCCCGCCCTGGCAGTGGAGGCAAAGGGGGGGAGATGGAGGGAGCAAAGCCTTGCTCTGCAGGGAGGGGTTGGTGCAAAGTAGCTTTGTTGCAGCCGGTCACTGTGAGCATGGCAGCCTCCGAGCTGCTTCTGAGGAAGCTGGGAGAAAGGGTCACAACTTCCCATCCTGGCACGGTGTGTGGGGTGAGAAGAGATGGGCCTTCAGACCTGCAGGAGAGGGGGTGGGGAAAGCAAGCAGGCCAGCGGCCCAGTCCACAGTCCTGAAGCCGAGTCCCGTCTCAGAAGAGCTGACAGCCGCAAGGCCTGGAAGGGACCCAGGGGCCCAGGGAACAGGCCTTCCAGAAGAATAGCACCCATAGGAACAGAAAAACAAGACACAGTTTAAGGCATTGCTTGTTTACAGTAAAGAATGCAAGGGACCCTTAACACAGAAGGAATCTGGGCTCCACCTCTGACCTTCCTCGGTGGACAAGGCTATCACTTGAGGTTAAAGCAGGGCTTCAAAGTGAATGAAGTGGGTGATGTCACAAGTCTGTGCCAAAATGCATGTTTCTCGAAGAGTTCACACTCACTCGCACACAGACGTACATGGCACCCACACGCAGAGGACGCTTCGAAGGTTGTACAAAATCTGAGGCAGCCCTGTGGGTGAGCAACCCCATGCACTTGGGGTGTAAAAAGCCAGTTTCACAGCCTGCTCCTTCTCTCTGGCCCCTCATGCCAGTTAACACTGTCCACTCTTCTGTGCAGAAAGCATGGGGGACCCAACGTGGGCCCGATGCTCTCTAGCCGAAGCAACAGCTGGTGGATGGTCGGGGGCCCAAGAGGCAGGGCAGGGTGTTCAGTTTGGGGTTCAATCCCAGCTCCTCAAGGTGGCGCTGTAGAATGAGTGTCATGAGAGATGCTGGGGATTGGCAGGTGGATCCTGCGCCGGTGGAGCCCTCTAGACTGTGAGGCCGCAGGTCGCGCCCCCTTAAGTCCAGCTGTGGGTCTCCCAGCACCCTGGCCAACCATCTGTGCCAGGACGTGTGCTTTACCACCAGTCCCAGGCTAGGCTCTCAGAAGCCTTTGAAGTCACGCCAAATACTGCAGAGACTTATTCAAATGACATAAGGTTTGCAGGTACCTGGAAGAGAAAGCTCAACCTCTTGTCAAAGTTCCCAGCTTTAGGAAGGGACAAAGGGTAGTCCCTAAGGAAAGGGACCAGGCCTTTCCCAGTTAGTCTGTAAATGAGCAGGTCAGGTGGAGAGAGGGCCTGGAAATAATGACAGCCAGCAATTGTTAAGTGACACAGGCTGCTCTGAACACTTCACGTGCATTGTGTCCTCAAGTCTTCACAACAACCCATGAGGCAGGTACTGGTGGTATCTCCATTATAAAGAGGGGAAACTGAGGCTTAGACAGGGGAAGTACACAGGGAGTGGCAGCGCTGAGACACGAGAGTGTATGCTCTCTATCCTTGCACCAAAATCACACTGCACTTGGAATGGAGAGGAGACAAATCCTGAAGAATGGGCATATGCCTCGGGAAGGGAAGCCAGTCAGGGAGGGTGGGTGGTCAGGGACGGCAGGAACTGGCAAAGAGAAGGGCTAAGTTTGGGGATATCAGCAACCCCAAGACCTTCCCACAGCTATGTGCCCAGGACAAGATCCCAGCTCCCTTTCCTGGGGGGGACCGCCAGCCCAAAGTCAGAGTGTCCTCTTCCCCTCTCCTCAAAGCTGCTAACACTCCCCTAGCCCCAGGCCTCCTCCCCCAGCACTGCCACGGGGTTCTAGGAGATTTGATGAGAAGCAGTTTCATCAAAAACAAATCCATCTTGGTGTCAATTTGGTCATAGCAATGAATTGGAAAAAATGCATCTCTTTGTACCAGGAGACAGTTATAAGAATGGTCACAGCAGTACTGTTCAAAAGAGCAAAAAGCAGAACCTCAATTCTCAGGGTCAATAAATAAAAAAACCAGTAAGAATAAATTAATGACAGTCACACACACTGACACCGATGAAACTTAGGAACACACTGTCGGAGAGCAAGGCGTGGATGAAACTATAGTTAGGGTTCTGTTTATAAAAAATGATTTTTTAAAAATGTACCCAAGATAATACATTAAGGAATCAAATACATGTACAAATATTTTTAGATGCTGTTTAAAGGAACAGTAAACAAACAAATCAGGAGTGAGAGGTGAAGGTGGGAGGCAGGCAGAATCCAGAAGAGGCCCCTGGGGGAGGGAGGCGTCCTAAGCAGGGGGCCCCGCCTGCCTATAGGCTGGGTGCTGGGTGCACTGCTGTTTGCCTTACTGCTGGGATTTACAGCTTACACATATGGTATCAATACGGTTTATGTGTACTCAGGGTTAGTACAATTTTAAGAAATGCAGTTCCACAAAAAGTGAACCGATCTCAGTCACTGAGACTTTCCGTGGGGGCAGCGGCCACTGCGGCCTGCTGGGCCACCCCATGGAGGCACTGTGGTTTATCTAAATCACCCTCTGCTCTGGGATATTTAAGGGTCAGCTTTTCATTATTTCATATAGCACAGAGTGGGAATATTTGACTGAGAGTAAATTAGAAATAAAAGGGGGAAAAAGAAGAAAAAAATAGCAGATCCCCCTCCCTTAAGTCTAAAAATCAGACAGAAATTCTTAGAAATGGCAGAACCTTGTCAGGGCACACCATGTTCGCCATACCAGAGATTTGGATCATTTGTCCTTCTGACCAAACACCTGCTCTGCCAAATGGGTTTGGCCCAGTTCCTCGCTACCTGCCATGGAGCTGCTGCCACCGGTGCGCTGCCCGCCCCACCCCCCAGAGAGGGGCAGTGGGCCTTGCCCAGGGCAGCGCCTCATCACGGCTCCTGGCTGCGCCACTCCCAGGCCACCACCAAGGCTCGGGTCTCTCTCCTCCCCACCATGCTGGCGGCCCACCTCAGACTGTCCGTCCCAGTCCAACCTGGGGCCACTCCCGCCTGCTGGCCACCTGTGTGTGGCAGGAGAGCCCCAGTGCTCTGTGCTCTCAGAGAGGCACTCAGAGCTGATGAGGGACCCCAGACACACACAGCGTGACTAGTGGGGAGGCCAGGACACTCTGGCTCTTGCCGTCACCCGAGGCAGCGCCAGCCGCATTCACTTCACATCACCTTAGCTGACTGCCTACCGAAACCCCTGGTCTTCCCACCATGGAGGGGGGCAAGTACATTTGCTTAATGTGGAAAGGATTCTCATAGAATTATGGTTTCTTGTATATTATTTTAGAGATTTTAAATGTACAGACATATAACAAATATGCATATGTTTTAATACAAATGAGATCGTGCTCACCGCTTCTTCACTTCTGTGTAGGAGCCGCCGTCAGGTGACGATGCACCGATCGGCCTCTGTCTTCTTTGCTACCAGGTGTTGCCCGATAGGAAATTATGGAGGGTCACAGGGCTTTCCGGGGACTTTTGTCCTTTGTTTCCTCTCACGGGCAGTGCTGCAGTGAGCATTCTTAGCGGCGCACCTCTGTGCGTGCTTGTGTGAGCGTACTCCAGGGGGCTAGGTGAGCCAGGGTGCTTAAAGGCAGTTTATTTGGGGCTCCCCTGTGGTATCGCCAGTCTTCCCTGGATCAGTCTTGTCCTACTGTTTTCGTTTGTCAAGGACTTCCTGCTAGTTCTGCTTTCTAGCTGCTCGTCATCTATAATTTGATCAGCTTGTCATATATCCTCATCTACGTAACAGGTGAAAATCCTGAGCAGGACCAAACTGAGCACAGAATCATGGGACAGGCCACTGGCGACCTCCGTCCAGTTCATGAGAGCAGCTTTGAGGGCCAAGATGCCTGTGACTGTGCCGTGACGGCGCCCCGGAAGCCTAATGCCTGGTGTGAACCCGCCTTTGCTGAGCTCCTCTCAGACCTCAGAACCGCTGGTCCCAGACGCTACCCACCCGTCCTCCTCGGGCTGCCACCATCTATTTCAAGCCCTGGTGTCCTCTCCTCCCAGACTCTCCAGCTGATCCCTGGGGAAAGGGGCAGGAGGCTTAGGGACAGGAGCGCCAGCCCTGGTGCTGCCACCTACCGCCCCCTGGTGCTGAGGCCTGCGACGGCCATTCCTCTCACAAGCCTGCACAGCCAGGAGCTCAGGGCCGGAGACTGGTGTTAGATCTCACTAACTATGGGACCTTAAACAAGCGTCTGCCTCTTTCTGAGCCTCAGTGTCCTCAGCGTAAGGTGGAGACCGTATGAGGGCCTGCCTCGCAGTGATGTTGGGAAGACCCAGACAACTCCTCATATAAAGCATTTTGCAGAATACCTGGTCCTAGGTGGGGTGTGTGTGGTGATGGTGGGGAGCCGAGGCACCAGCCGGGCCCAGGAGACCAGAGGTCCCACTGGCTCAGACACACCAAGGAGACAGAGAGCCCCATTCATCAGCTGCCATGGTTGGCTTTCAACAGATTAGCTATTGGAAGGGGCGTGGGGGCAGGGAGGCACTTTAGTCAGTTTGGGGGGATGATCAATTTAACTATTGAGGGGGTGATCCAAATAGATGCTGTAGCCTGATCCTTGGGGGGATGTCACACCTGCCACCTAACTGTCCCCGAGGGATATTTCTGTGGCGTTTTCCTTATGGGAAAAGACACAGGGACCAGATTCCAAGTTCTGGTCTGAAGCCAAGCTTAGTTCTAAGCTGAGCAGGGAGTACTTGTCACCTGGGAAAAGGCTGATCAAAAGAGGCTGCCTGGGAGCATAGCGGAGAGGCTCTGAGGGAAAGAGGGAGCCCTGTTTTCTATGGACCCTTAGTCCCAAGGGTGGGAGAGGCTATTTCAGGTGACAAGCAGGATTTGGGTGACTTTACCTGAGGCCTGTTGCTTTTACACGCATCATCCAAATGCTTGTGCCACAGTATTGCATGAAACCGGGAGCCAGTCTGGAACTTGTAAACATTGCCTGATGGGTAGAGAAACCATCAGTTAAGAAGACGTCCGCGTGGGAGGGCCTGCCTGTGGCTGCGGCATGAAGGTGAACGTGTACCTGGGTGACTGAACCAAGGAAGGTCAGAAGCAGCCTGAGGCAGGCTTGGGGCTCCCAGAGAAGGAGTCTCTGGTGCTCCTGGGCTGTGCCCTTGGACTGGGGCTCTTGACCATTTGGGGGACCATAATACATTTGGCTCTGGGGAAGCCTGTGGGCCCTTCTCAGAATTACATTTTCAAATGCATAAAATAGAACACAAAGGAAATCAGTGATACTGGAACACAGTTATCCAACTTTCAGGAAACAACGGAGTGACACAGGCCCCTAAGTGCTTCTTTATTAGTGCACAGTAAGATTTGCGGCCAGTCTGGTACTGTACTGTAATTTCAAACAGATGACATGCATGTTCTTTGTTGACATATCAACCATGATATTCTGAGAAAACTACAACAGTATGTGACACGGAAGTATCATGGTTTCTCTTAGAGATAATCACAGGTGTTTTGAATGTTCTAGTAGTTTAAAGACTTAGAAGTCATGGAAAACAAAGATGTAGTCTTTTCCTCACCCAAGTTCACAGACCCCTTGAATTCTATCCACAGACCCTGGCCTCCCTGTGTGTCACATGTCCCTCTGCTTGGGGACAGTGCTATCCTCTGGCGTAAGGTCCAAGACTGGCCCCGTGGCCGTAAGCCTTTAAATCAAGCTTGTGTGGGCACAGCCTTTACTTCCTAAAGAAACCACCACTAACCCAGGCCCAGAGCCTCGAGGAAGAAACTCGAACGGTGACCAGACTGCGGACGCGCTGTAACGCGTGTGCAGTGATAGGTGGGCTGGTCACTCCGATGCAGGCAGAGCCCACAGCCCCTCCCGTCTCTGTTCCCTGGGTTTCTTGGAGCTCCTGTTTCTTCGCTTCGCAGCTAACAGCATTGGAACACAGACACCCCGGGTGTGGTCTCTCCACAGCAGCCTCATCTGCATTGCCTGGGAACTTGTTAGAAAAGCAGAACCTTGGTCTCCACCCCAGATCCACTGAGACCAAATCTGAATTTTGACGAGATCCCCAGGTGATTTGTAGGTACATGATCCCCCCATTAGAACATTCCTGTGAAGGTGGGAAGGTGCTTGGGGATTGACAGTCCCAGTGAGTCTGCCTGGCTAGAGCCCACGACTCAGACAATTCGGGGTTTTGTCAGGTGGCATGCATGGCCGAGGAAACTGGCGTGGCCTGTTCTGAATGTCAGCGCAGACAGGGCTCCCGGACAAGATGGCCCCCATAACCTCTCCTTCCTGATACGGTCACGGGGCAAGGATGGAACCAGGAGGAACCGGGAGACGACGGGGTAAAGTTGGAGTTTTCCTAAAAGGACTCTCTGGTTTGGCCTTGGACCAGGATACTGCCAGAGTCACATGGCACAGGTAATGTCAGGGGCGTCCCCGACATCTCCCAAGACCCAAGGCCCTCCCAGCCCCATGGCCACTGCCTCATCCAGGGCTCTCATTTATTCCAAGGCCCTGAGGCTTCAGCTCTGGGAGCACTGGGCCCCAGTAGCCATAAGTGAGGCCACAGAAAGGATACATGCACACCGCCCTGTGGACACACCAACCACCGTCTAAGCAGCTTTCATGGACTAGTGGGAGGACCCTGTGAGCATCAGACCCTAAAGCAAGGGGACAGCAGCAGCCTCAAAGGCTCCTGCCATCTCAGAAAGCACATTCGGCAGAAGAGGACGCAGGGTGCAGAGAAGCTACAGGTGCCAGCTCAGGCCTGCTGCCCACCTTTTTCAGGATTATTCAGCTGGAAGATATCCGGGTGCTCTGGGTCGTCCGGCAGCCGCACCATCCAGCCCACGATGGAGACCTTCTTGCCAGGTGTGGATTTGTACTGGAGGGGAGCAGCAGCATAGCTGGGGGGCCCCACTGCCCAAGGCAGGCCGACCGGCCAGGCCAGCTTCTTCCCACCCACGCCCTCCTCTCCTCCACCCGCCCCCCTCCAGTTCACGCAGACCCCCAAGGAGAGTCCTTTCTGGGACTTACGTGTTTCCTGTCTGTGCCCCGCAAGGACTTGGCTCCGTAGTACAGGAGGGTGGATCCCGAGAGGACGACCCAGTACCTGGTCCATGAGGACAGCTACAGGGGCGGGGCAGGCAGAGTGACCACACTGCAGGCGGGCCCCGCCTGCCGCCTCACAGGCCCGGCCATGCAGGTGGGAGGGTGTCCCCTCCGCCTGCTCAGGGCTGGCACAGGCCTTCTCTCTGCCCCGGCCCCCAGCCCCCCGATGCCATGTCCACTCAGGACCCCGTGGAGGGAGGCTCCTCGCCAGGGCCTCTGCGCTCATCGGCCCTGTGCCCTGCCTCCCTTCCCTGCTCCTCTGCTCAAGGACCCTTTCCTCTCTTCTCCTGAAGGTAGGGCCGAGGCGTGATTCTGTGCTCAGGTGACCTGGGCCCAAGAATGCCCCAGGGGAGGAACATGGTAAGAACTCGGCCACGCTACACCTTGGTGCAGCAGAACCATAGTGTCTGCAGTGGGCTGCTCCGCCCGAGACCCAACGGCCTTGCTTTTGAAGCCTTTATGGTTAGAAGTGGGAAAACCCAGCTGGGCCACGCTGCAGGCCTGGCCTGTGTCCCTAGGAGAGAAGGCTGGGATTCCCCTGCAGGGGACTCTGCTCCCTGGTGTGGGGGAAACCACCTCAGTGAGCCTTTCGGTTCTGCGAAGGTGAGGCAACGATCCCACCTTGCAAGGAGGAGGGCTGAGCGTACAGAGGGCCGCAAACCGCTCCGCGTCAAAGCCTACGAGGCTCCCTCCTCTTGCTGGATGGAGCCGTGCCGCTGCAAATGGTGAAAACCGTGGCTTTCAGACCTTTTCACATATGCTGAACTGAAAGAAGCTTCATGAAACAATACTTCCCTTTACCATGTGTAAGGAACCCTGGCATTTTCTATTCTATTCTACTCAACAATATGACCCACTGAATTGATTTCCTCACTCACTATTGGACCAACCAGCACTGGGGGAAACACTACTTTTAGGATACTGCCTTGCTCTGGCCTCAGAATGACTAGGGCCTGGATTCTGGGTACAGGAGAGAGGCAGGCGGGATGCTTTGCGACACTCTGGGTCTGAGGGGCAAGGTGTGGCCCAGAGCTGGAGTGAAGACTCCCCTCCTCACCCAGGAACACAGCAGTTGAGTATATGGAGGTGTCATCGGCAAGGGCCCCAGCATCTCACGGGCAGTGGGAAGGGCCGAGCAGGGGCCAGAGCAGACGCACGAGCTGCTGCCGGGAGAGGCGGCTCGCCTGGGTGCTCCACGGTAACGACGGCCCGTGTGGAGGGCTGAGGCCCTGCCCCCGATGGGGGCCAGTGACGTTTGGGTACAGCTCGGGGCACCCAGGGACTACTGGTGGAGCCTCAAAGGCCTCTTGACTCCTTGTGCCTGCCCTCTCCTCCCCTCGCTGACACCGCTGCCTGTGGGGCTGGGGGAGAGGCAGTCCACCTCTAGGAACCCCACACCGGCTGTGCTGAGCCCCTTACGGGCAGAACCCGCCCGGACCCCCAGGGGTCTGCAGGCCCCCACCAGCCCGCGAGCTCGCCTCAGCTCTGGTTCACTGTACGCTGTGCGCACTGCTGTGTACGCCACACTCTGGATGAGACCTCTAGGCACGCTTCACAGACGTGTAAACGGAGGCCCTTGCCCACTCTGTGACCCAGCCGGGCGGGCGCCCTGTTCGGCAGCTCCCTGGGCCCAGGCCGGCTCTGACGCGGTGCTGTCCGGGGACGACGCGCATCTCACTTACCGCGGGCTTCCGCCCCTCTTTGAGCAGCGTTTTCCTTCTCAGAGGCCCCTCCATGGTGGGCACCGCTGCTGGGCTCCCCAGTGTACAGATGCACGGGCCGGCGGGACTGAGGGGAGACTTTCAGTCAGACATCGCCCCGCATGAGCTGGGGTCAGAGGACCCACATGCTGGGAGGGGATTGGGGGGCTGCCGAGGCTACAGAGAGCATGAGGGAAGGAGGCCTGGGCTCGCCCACAGCTGAGAACTTCCACTTCCTCCTCCTCCGTCTTCCTGAGCACAGCAAAGCTCAGGCTGGGTGACCAGGCCCCTGTGAGCCTGGCCCCTAGCAGCACCCCCACCTACCCCATCCTCTGCGGGGGGCTTCCTCTCCGCCTGGGAGCTTGAGGCTGTGCAGCCCCTCCTTGTGTTGGCAGGAGCCTTGGAAGAGCAGGAGGACGGGAGAGGTGGGGTGGGGAGTGGGACCGCCTGCATACCATGGGCCCTGCACCTTCCCCTCAGGGCCCCCTCACCCTTGCCATGGGGGGTTCAGGGCCACCTGCAAGTGAAGACGGCCCCATGCAGCCCCAGCCCATGCTCAGCGGACAGGCGCGTCTGCGGGTACCTGCGATCCGGGGCCCTTCCCCACGCTGCTCTTCCGCCACATCCCACCTACTTGGCTGCTTGAGCCGGCACCTGCGGTTCTCTTCTTCCCCTCCACCTACACAACCCGAGCTACCCCAGGACGCATTGACCCCATGTCCTGAATCTGACTGACTGTCCATCCCGGCCATCCTGCCGTCCCCACCTTGGGCAGAACTCGAGCTTCCTTTGACCAGCTGCCTTTGGAGGCTCTCCTGCAACCTCCCCACGGCCGTGAGCCCACGGTCCTCACCCTGTGGATGGGGCTCCATCCCGCTGCCCCGGCCTCCTCTCTGCCCTCTCCTTCTCATTTCTTATCTCGACACTAACTCTCCTTCACACAGCAAAACCCAGACTCTTCCTGCCGCAGTGCAAGGTCCCACGGGCTGTCCCTTTGGCTGGGGGCAGTCTTATTGTTCTTTCTGCCCCCTGCTCTGTTTGTTTAATTCCTATGTCTCTTCCAGTGTTTCCCCAGGGAGGCCTTCCCTGGTGGCCCCTCCCAAGGCACCCCCACCTTCTCTCTGGGACCCCTGGGATTTCCTCTCTGCCTGTCTGTCCCAGAGCAGCAGCCTCTAGCACAGTGCGTGCCATCCGGTAAGCCCCTAACAGCTATTTGTCAAATGAAAGAACACATAAATCAATGCATACCTGTAAACGCAGCTCTGGGTTCTGGGAGAATTCCGAACTGGAACCCGCCAGTTGGGCCCCAGTGTGGCATAAAGACGTCCCCTGCTTCAGAGGAAAAGGTTGAGTTTTAGCAACAGCCTGGAGAGACCAGATACTCTGATGGAGGCCATGCCATGCCAGACCATGCTGTCATGAGCTCAGGAGGCCCCGAACCAACCCTCCCCCCACCTCCCGGTCACACTGCAGGCACCTCGGGGGCACGTTTGGAGCTGCCAAGTCAGTGTCACAGCACCCTTGGAGCCTCCAACTGAGCAAGTCCCCAAGTTCCCGGGTAATTACTTCCTTAACGTTTTAATGAAATGTTCACCCTTCTTCCAGTGTCAAGGGGATGACCAAAATCCAGGCACACCCACTTACCCCAATGTGAGGTTGAGATGTTTAACTGAAAATGCTGTTTGGCCCAAATATTCCACGATAAACCCAATTAAATGCACACCCACAGTAACAGAGTTGTGGGCAGTGTTGCATGTCAAGCCTGGGCTGGGGATTCACCAGGGCTCAACTGATTTCCTCTGCCAGCTACATCCTCTCTGCCGACAGACCCTTTTGCCAGACCTGGCCATGACCTGCAGACCCCAGGACCTTCCCGGGAGCTGCTTGGGGCTCCCTTCCCAACTGTACTTCCCCAGAAGGGGGCCTTTCACAGGTGGGCGCAGCCTCCATAAGCCGGAAGCCTAGCTTGTCTGGAGGAGGCTCCCGGCGTTCTTTCTCCTTCCCTCTCTCAGCAGAATGACTGCTGTGTCCCCTGGGCCCTCAGCCTTCTCCTGCCCCCGCAGCAGGTCTATCCCCGGACTGTAGCTTTCCCTGCCCACTGGCCACACAATGATGGGAAGTCAGACGAGGCTCACGCTGCCTTTTCAAATGGTTCTCCACCGCCAGAGAACAGTGCCTGCATGTCGCCCTTTGGCTCTGGCCACGTGGTGGTGGTGTGGGGACGTCCTCATCTGTGGCAGTGGACATGCACACTGCAGCTGGAGCTCAGGTTCCTGTGAGAGGCGCTGTGCTGCTCCCTGTCCGTCCATCCTCTACTCAGGGAGCTGTTCATGACCAGCACCTCGGGTCTGTCGTCCAGGGGCCCAAGGTCAGGGCTGGTGGCTGTGAGATGGTCATCTAGGTTGACTGCTCTGGGACCCCACCCCTTTTGCCCATCAGCTACACCCTGTTTAGGGGATACAGAGCCTCAGCATGTGCTTGCCCCCCAAATTCTTGAATGTAACAGGTCCCTTTCCCCACCACATCCCTGTGACAGATCATGGTCACAAGCTGACCCCACCCCACTCCACGAGCTGTGGCCACCACAAGTCCTGGCATGCTCGGCTCCCAGCCCACAGGCTGCATTGCTGTTCCTCTTTCATCCAGCAAGAGGCTTTCAAAGCAGTGAACAAATGTGATGCTCTTCAGATGAAGAGGCCTCCGCTCTAGTTTATGAAAAGCTTCAGCACTTCACCATTATGGGCAACACTGGTCAAACACCTCACACCTTGGTGCGCCACCACGACACCACAACCCCGTCCTCCAGCAGGCTGCCAGAGGGCTCGCTAACCGACCGCCTCCGCAGGTGCTTTCCGCCCATCACCAGGGGACTCTTGGAGTCCAGGTGGGGCCGGCAGTGAACTTCTCTGCGGTGACAGCGCTCATGCCTGGAGGACGTTGCTGGAGCTGGATTCCCGCTCGGAGTTGCTGCCTGCGTGGAGCTGGCAATGAGCCTCCTTTCCCAGAGCAGGTCCTCTGCACAACTCCCCCTGCCCCACCCCCACCTGCACTTCTGCAGCGTCCCTTCTCAGGAGTCTTTTGTGCCTGCCACCCAGGAAAACGGGTGATGACAGTGGACAGCCTGTCGCCAGTCGTTCCAGAGGCAGGGCTGGGGCAGTGCTGCCACCTTCCCCGTCATTCTCTCCCGTCCTTTGGACAGTCTGCATACGTAACTGACGTTTTCAGGACTGACGTTTGTTGGCAGAGAGCTTTCCCACCAGGCTAGCCCCGTAAGCAGTCCTTCTTATGCTCTTCCTGAACAAGTGAGGTGCCCCCAAGTGCACCAGCTTGGTGTGGGGGTGCAGAGGCGCCAGAGGCCAGTGTGGCGGGCCACTACACTGATTATCTCACTGGACCTTTAGGCACCATTATCCTCTCCAGAATGGGGAAACTGAGGCTCAGTGACGTGTAGACACTCAACCAAAGCATGAGCCTAGGAAGCCAGGATTTGCACTGAGGCCTGTCTGATTCTGCCCAAGCTCCCTCCATGCCTTGCGGAGCCAGCACCGTGTGGGTGGCTTCCTGGCATCGTACTCTGAGGTTTCCTGCAGGTTTCCACAGCAGCCCCCACTGAATAGGCCTTGACAGGGTTTGAGAGACTGGATGGCCACAAAATTCTCAGGCCCTGGATCTCCTGGGGTGGGGCCACTTCCCAGGTCCCTGGTCGGTTGGCTTCCCCAGCGGAGTATTTTCCTGGGAGTTTTGGCTGCCTGGCACTAAGGAGCAGCTGCCATTTATCAAGGGCTTAGTATGAGAAAACTAAGTGCTTTCACACACCGTTCCCTCCAACTCTGTGGGGGGTGCTGTTCTCACGCTGGCAGAGACCAGGAGACTGAGGGTCAAGGAGGTGAGGCCACTCACCCCACCCCACTGGCCTGGCATGAGGGATGGAGCACAAGTGCTCACAAAGGGAGGCTGGCTTTCGCGTGTGAGCAGAGGACCATGTCAGCCAAGCTGCCCCAGGAGTTGGGGTGTCAGAGCCTGCTCCCCCTGGAGCCTGGGGGAGGGACCTGGCCTTGAAGGGCAGTACGGTGGTGTGGCTTCTGCCAGAGGCCAGCTTTTAGGGGAATAAGGTCAGGGTTGTGGAGGCCAGCCTTTCCTCCCAAGGGAGCCCTGCAGGGCTGAGGAGGGTTGCGAAGGGCGGCAGCTCCAGCCGGGCCCCAGCAGGCTGGTACCAGCACCAGGAGGTAGGGTCTTCAGCCACTGGAACCAGACGGCTTGATCACTTCTCTGCTTTGAGAACGTTATTTGAATGTTCAGGGCCAGGAAATGCAAAATGAGCAGGCAGGGTATCTGGTGAACTCCAGAAATCATGGGATTTCTCCAACAGACATGGGGGTTCCCACTCCAGAACCACAGATACCTTTCCCAGCATGATGCTGGGAACATGTGACTGAACAGAACGTACCCCAGGAAGGCCATTTCCCTGGTCCCTCTCAGGGACACATCTTGTAGGGGGAGGAGGGCTGCAGTGGGCAACCCTCCTTATGGGGTGTCTGGTCTGGGGAAGATGTAGGCTGCCAACCAAGCTGGGCATTTCAATCCCAAAGGGTGCATGAGATGATGATGGTGGTGGTGGTGGTGGTGGGGACGGTGGGGATGGTGATGGAGATGGTGGGGATGGTGGGTGCCAGGCAATGTACTAAGCAGTCTTTGTTCATTATCTTGTTCAGCTACACAACACTTGGAGGCAGGATATTCCCATCCTCAACTATAGAGAAGGAATCTGAGGCTTGTCAACATGGAGTAAGTTGCCCAAGGTCACACACTAGGAAAAGGGAGAGTGGGTCGTGCTGTTGAGATGGAAAAAGCCAGGGCCCTGCGTGGGCCAAGAGCAGTATGAGAATTCAGACTAGCCAAGGCAGATCTGAAAGGCATTGTCCCCTTTCTAGGCACACATTAGGTGAGTCCCTGGCCTAGGAGGGGAGGAAGCAGAGAGAAGTCTTGGATAATAATTACATCGAGGCCTCAATAATCTGGTCTCAGCAGAAACAGTCCCCCCGATTCTTCTATTTCAAGTGCACAGAGCCTCGCTCAGGTAGGATGTATCTGTGGAAGGGCCCAGGTGAGGCGGCTCATCAACAGTGTCCACCTGCGTCAGCAGACCCTTGAGGGAAAGCCATCCCGTTAAGCCAGGTTGTGGTCCTGGCCATCTTCTGATGATTCACCCTCATCTGTAGGCAGGAAGCTGACACCCCTAGTCCTGCTGGGCCCTGGGACCTCCCTTCCAGCAGTACTTGTTAAAGGACTTGTGCTGCCTGTGACTCACTCACTCTTCTCTGGGCAAGTAAGTCCCTGATCCACTGATCGGGTCCTCAGGAGCCCTATTTGTGTTGTATATTTATCTGATTGGACAGAACACCTGATCCAAGCTAGGTCAAGAGAATTTCTCTCCTGGCAATTAGGAGCCAGACTTGAGACTAAATGCCAGGCTCTGTGGTGGGGTGCAGCTGTAACATGTGAACTAGGGAACGTGCAGGTGTCTATCTTTCCCTCTGTGAGCTGAGAAGTCCAGCAACCCGGCCGACAGAGAGAGGGGAGAACAGCGGATATACACAGAGAAGGATTAACACGAGATGGAAGGGCCCGGTCCCCTTTGTAGGACCTGGCTCTGAGGGGCTGTAGGTATTGAGCCAAGGTATTGTGGGCAGAGATTTCTCAGCTGCCCAAGAAGTCACAGCAGCTAGTGGGCAGTGCCCAGCCCTTGCCTGCCAGGGGCCAAGGACAGGTCAAGTAAACAGCCCAGGGATGCTTGCTCTGTTCTCTTGCAGAGAGGCCTAGGCTCCTGGGTGGAGTTTCACTTGCCAGACATCAGCGTCTGTTGCTGAGAGCAAGGCAAGGGGGCATCTTTGGGGGAACCCAGGTCAGGAGCTTGGCTCCGCACCCAGCCAGACCGCCAGCCGCGGCGGAGCGGCAGAGAGGAGGCACTGGGCAGGACGGGTGGGAAGCTGTCCGAGGGTGTGCGGGTGGCGGACAAGCCCTGAGGGATCCCCGGGGTGACGGCCACAGGGGTGGGGAAGTGGGCAGAGAGGCCTCTGTGAGTCACACCCCTCACCTCCAGGATGGCCTCCAGGGCTTGGCCTCCCTCTCCTGCAATGCTGCAGAGTTTGGGGCTCAAGAGGCACCCTTGTACCCTGGAAACCCGATGCCTGCTAGAGTCCTCTGCTCTTTTGAAGGAAGGAGAGGGATGTCTGTAAAAACTCTGACTTGCGGGTAGTGGGCTTGGGGCTCTGCCACCGTGACTCCTCTTTCTTGATGTCCCCCTAAGGATGGCGGGAGATTCCTCTGGTGAAAAGAATGCAAAAACCTCACACAGGGCAGAAACTGAGGTCACTCAACCTGCTGGACACCCAAGTGCCCTTGCGGGCCAACCGCCAGCAGCGACCTCTTAGGGGTCCTCCCACTGCTTGGCGTCACCTACGGAGTCAAGCTCGAAAATCCCAGAGTAGGTTCACCAAACACTACCTCTTAGCAGCAACCCCACGTCTGTGCTAAGTACTTTCTGGGAGCATCATCACTGCAGAGCTGGGGAGCCTGGTGCTTGGGGAGGCTGGGGGACCTGGCTGCAGTCCCTGAAGAGCAGGCGGTCCTCACCTCAGGCCCCTCCCGGTGCGGCTGGCTGTGCCCAGAAGCCAGACCATGACCTTCCACTGCAGAGGCCCACCAGAGCTTCAGACACCAGGACAGGTTCCGGAGCCCCCTGTCCTGCGGTGACTCTGACAGACACCATGCTTTCCCAAACACCTGTCCCCCCTTGGCACATGCATGACTCGGGCCTCACAGCCTCCTCAGACCCAGGAACCCCTCGGGGGCCACGGGGGCCCTCTCCACTGAATGTCCTTGGGCTTCTGCTTGACTGTTGTCTCTATGAGAAGCCCCCCTGAGCCTGCGGTCTGACTCGGCTGGCCCTGGTGGACCCTCTGCTGAATGTATGGCCTCTTCCAGATCCCCAGGCCCTGGGATCAGGGATTCAGTCTCTCCCGACAGCCACTGTGAGTTGTGCCGAGTTCCCTGGGGACTCAGTTCCCTTCAGAAAGAGATGTCACGCTTCCCTCTCCCTCCCCTTCCCCCTCCCACCAAAGGGGTTCCCGCGGAGGCCCCCCTCTCTGCCTCATCTTTCAGGTCAGAGGGCCTTGCCACACAGATGGGCCACCCTGGACTAGAGAAGGTGGGAGGCCAAGAGCTTTGTAATGAACTTTGTGACACGTTTCAAATGACACCTCTTAAAACTGATCAGTTAACATTTCTGATCATATTTTCTTCTAAGAAGTTAAGTGTTAATTTTTTTGTTGGGGGGGGTGAAAGAAACATTTATCCATTATGGAAAATCTGGAGAATAAAGAAAAAAAAAATCTCACTCATTAACCCTACAACTCAGAGATAACCAAGATGAATGACATTATGTATTTTCATATGTACAGGTATGTTCACCTCTATCATCCATTTTGTTCCTCTTTTTAAAAAACCTTCATTTAAAATCCTCAATTCTTAGGCTAACATTCTTACTCTCACTTTAGTGCCAAATTGGGCATAAAGAAGCACCTATTAGCTTTTATTGATGGGTCTAAAATACTCCGTTCTGCCCTTGATTTTTGAGGACCCTGAGGTCTGCTCCTGGTCAGCCTGGGCCGTGTCCATAGTCCCCACTTCCCAGTTAACTAAGCACATGTTAAAAATGCCTTTTCTGGGCCACCTCCCTGCCCTCTTGGGAAGGCCAGGTGTGATGCTGTGTCCCCACTCCCAGGACACTGAGGCCAGGAACTGCAGGTGGGGACACGAGGTAGAGTCTCGGGAGAGGGGCCCACCCTCTCCTCCTCCCCAGCGACTCTGGCCCCTGCATGCGAGGGCTCTGACTTACGACCACCACCCTGCCCTCATTCTGGGTCCTGACGAGGCAGAGGGCCTTTAGGGCAGCCTGGGGATGGGACATGACCAACACCTGTCTGGGTCTGGCTGCCTCATGACTCCAGTCTGTTCCCGCCCCTCCCACCAGCAGGCCCTGTGAGCTTGCCGAGGCTGCGGTGGACAGGAGGACTCCGTGGGCTCCACCGTGGGTGCTCTTTAAGGCCGTCCATTTCAGGGAACCACTGGGGACAGCCTGAGCTCTGGAGCCATCCAAGGACTGCCTTGGGATGGCTGGGCTGAACTGTCCCTCTGTGTAAGTTCAGGGAAGGCAAATTTGCAAGACAAAACCATGTGATCCCACCCTTAGCCCACCAACGGGCCCTCCTGCTGCCCATTCACAGTGGCATCAAGGGTGATTACAGTGCTCTTAACCTAACGCACAGCCCAGCCGTGTTCTGGGGGTGGGGCCACTGGCCTGGGGCCTCCCTGCTCTTCATGGTGGGATCCGGCTTTACTCTCTGCCTGGCCTGGGCCAAGCTTGTCACCAGGGCGCTGGGGCTGATGGGCGAGTCAATTGAAGGTCGTGGCCTCTAAGCTTCCGGGCTGTGGGGCAAGGTGCTGCCCCCCACCCTCGCCTGGTCTCTAGGGACTAGAGAAGCCAGGATTTCTTCCTCTCTTACGCCTCGTTCTGCTGGTGGGGCCTAGCCCACCCAGCCCTCTCCCGCACCCGGCTCTGGTTCCAAGGGCACTGCCCGGCCATGCAGGTGCGGGATGCAGAGAGAGCTGTGATCCTACAGCGTCTGCCGGGAGCAGCTGGCAGGGGCTCCACGAGGGGAAGCTTTGCTTTGCTGAAAATTGCTTTGGGGGTTCTTTCAGGGCAGATGCTGGCTTCTGGGCCCAGGCAGGAAGTGGGCATCTGCTCCCCTTTATACAGCAGGAGCAATGTGGCCTGAGGGAGGCTGGGAGGCAGGACCCAGCGGCGCTGAGCCTGGGCAGGTGAAGGTTAGACATGAGGGGGGCCCAGGTGACAATGGGCTCCCTGAGCTGTGAGAAAACAGAGTGACATTTAACAAAGGTTTTTGAAGTGTGTGAGACAAATCCTTCCTTCCAACTCTGCAATGGGGTCCCCGGGAAGCCTAGAATGCTCACAGGCTTTTGAGGGAGTGGGTTCTTTTTGGAAGACATGAAAAGAGGCCAGTTCAGGATGGAAATGGAGACCCGAGGCTGAGGCACAGGAGCTGGAGGCTGGATCACCAGGACTGCCTTGGGTCTCAGAAGGGACTGGAGGGGCCATCCTAGCTGCACTGGCTTCTTCCGAAGCAGGAACCTCAGCAAGAAGGGGCTGACCCAGGAGCCAAGTCCCAAGGGAATGATCTGAGGGCTGCTAGAGGCACGGTGGGGTATCTGTACAGGTAAGCCAGCTATAAGACCGGCGCTCACAGGAATCCCGCCCTAAAGCACCTATTATACACATTCAGATGGACCTAATGAGAAACTAAGTGAAAGAGAGAAGAGAGAATGGCTGTACCTTAGTGTTCACTGATGAACCAAGCACAGCACCCTGTCCCTGGGGTGGGAACTCTCTCACCATCTGCCTTCCTGGTAGCTCCAGCCTTGGTCATGGGTGCTTAGCAGGAGCCATATCTACTACCCTCAGTGACTGGCGCGGTGTCTGGCAGGGAGCAGTTGCTTAATAAGTGGTGAATGAATGAATGAGTGAATGATGAAGGAATGAATGAGTCCAGGTCTGGGTGGTACTCAGGATCTCGGCACCATGCCTGCGTTCCCACCCCTGTGGCTGGGGCTGACATGGGCTGGCCTGCACGACTCTTCCTCAGGGGCTCCCCAGGAGTGCCCCGCTGGGTGCTGACAGAAGTCCACCTCTGGCTCCTCACAACTGGAGTCTGCCCCTCGAGTCTGTCTGGTTCTCATCCCCAAGGGAGAACAGAGCAAGCGTGTCTCTAGGAGCCCAGGAGCGGGGCCGGAGGGAAGAGCCCCTGGGGGCCTGCGGCACTGTTCCTGCCCTCCCAGCCCTCCACAGAGGGTTTCACAAGGACAGACTGCCTGCAGCTGGCGTAGGGACCCTCCGGCCGAGGCCTGGAGCCCTGTGGGGCGGAGGTAGGCTTGGAGTCAGGGGGATGCGTGTTTGCGTCGGCTCTGCCCTGGAGAGGGGAGTGAAGCGGGACAGGTCACTCCACCTCCTGGAGTTTTCTGTCCACATGTGAACATGGGGACACTACGAAATAGCCTCACGCCTGTGCTTGAGGATGCAGGGAGACTAAGATAGTGCCTGGCACACAGGAAATGCTCAACAAGGTCACTTGTCATTATCTCCCTCTGCTCCATGGGGACCTATAGGGAGAGATTTACCTCCTCTCTGGCCATTTACAATTATGGGACCGAGGAGACAAGAAGCTTCAGCACCAGAGGAGTGGGTGAGGTGTGTATATGTGTGAAAGGCGTATATATATGCATGCACGTGTGTGAATGTACATGTGTGAGCACATATGTCCATGTATGTGAGGGTATGTGAGTGCATGTGTGTATAAGTGTGTCGACACACACTAAAGTGTATGTATGCGTATGTGTGAGACTGGAGTATGTGTGTGCGTGTGTGCCTGCCCGTGTGCTCAGGCCCCTGCACGCTAGTGGAGGGGGCCACTCTGAATCAGGGCGGAGCCAACCTGCTCTCCGTGATACTCCATGTCAACAGACTTCCCCTGCCTCCTCCAGACCCTGAGTTGCCAAGATGCCCTTCACCTTTGGCGGTGCCACTGCTGTGGGAACACCCCATTCACAGACTCCCTGTCTTTCCAGAGCCTACCAGGTACCTGGCCAGGTGAGAGGGCGTGCTCGTGGAGCAGGCACAGCACGAGAATTTCTGCAGAAGCCAAGCTCTGGGCCACGGATCTACTGCTCTCACCAGTGCACAGCAGGGCAGGGGTCCACCCACGGCCTGAGGCCATGTGCATGCAACACTCTCAGCTCCCACCAGGCGGAGCCACATGCCCATCTCCAGAGGAGGTCCCTGCTCAGGCTTCTGATTTCAAGAGCCCCCATTTCAGGCCAAATCTGCTCCCAGGTCTGCTGGGCAGCTCAGCCTAAGGAGGAGGTGCTGGCCTCAGGCGCCTGGGCCAGATGATGTGTGGGGCTGCACAGAGGGCGGCTGGGACCCCTCCGCCCCAGGCCCAGCCTGCTCTTCCACGCCTCTCTCCTTGCTGGCTCTGCCCCTGGGTCCAGCTGACCCGAGGAGCTGCGGAGCAGCCTCACCAGGCTAGGCGTGAGCTGAGGCAGAGTGGGGCTGGTCCCTGCCTGGGGCTGTCTCCAGCTCCCTTGGGCCCTGAGCGCCCCCCGGGAGGGAGGCAGAGCAAGGCCACACTCACCTTTCCAGCCCTGAAGACATCTCTTCACTAAACTCTGAGCTCTCACTACTGCCTGGAAAAGGAACACAGATCAGTGAGCGTGGCGGCCTTGCAGAAGAGGGGCCAACCCCAGAGAGGCCTGTTCTTCTGGGGCACTGGGCCCAGGCCCCTGAGCTCCACAGAGGTGCTGGAGAGACTGCTTCCTGCCCTGTGGGCATCACTGTGGCTTGGGTTTTTGCTGCTGCTATTTCCAACTCTTCCCTGAGAGGGTCAAAAGAGCCATCCTGTCCCATGTCCTTAGGTGGGTCCTCTGCTACCTTCACACTGCCCCCAACCCAAGGCTGCAGCTGCCTGCCCACTGGCCCATGGGGCTCTGGGTCCTTAGGCGTCTGTCTGGGTCTGGCCTGCTCCACCACTGCCTCCCTTCTGGCCCAAGTGGAACCAGTGCCAGAACAAGACTCAGCCAGGGTAGGCAAGAGGCCAGACCAGCACTTCTCCCCGAGGGTCAAGGCAGCCAGATGCAGGTCACAGAGCAGCTGTCCAGCACGATACAGAAGCCTGGAGGAGGGCCCCTCAGGCCCTAGCTAGGGTGCACACAGACCCTCCGGGGCCCCCTGCTCCTCAGGGGCTCTCCAAGGCCTGGCACTGGCCACAAGGACCTCAGAGAGATTTCCTCCTGTCACTTCACACTGCCAGTGCCTCTGGGCTCTCCCTCGGGCCTCAGAGGGCCCTCGCTCAGTGCCTTCACCTGGGCTGCTTGCCGGTACCAAGGATGGATGGTGGGAAAGGGGGAAAGGGGCTCTGGTCCCTTGGAATTACAGGAAGGACAGGACCAGCTCAGTTCCAGATGGGACAGACGCACACATGGCATCGTGCTCCCAGGCTTCCAGCTCAAACAGAAAACCCTGGGATTTTCCTGAGTGCTGAGAACAAACTGCTGCATGTCCCACCTGGATACCCGGCAGCGTTGTGTCGGACTCAGTTTTCTGTCTCAGGAATAGCAAGGCCTGGGCTCAGGCACAGCTCAGAAAGTTTCCTGGATGTAAAACATCTGTTCTGCTGCCCAGCTGAATGCTCTCGGGCCAGTATTTCCCAGACTGCTCCTCAGAACCCCATCCCAAGGACATCCCAAGGACAAGGGTTCCGTTACCAGATCATGTGAGAACCTGCAGAATCTACTGCCTCTTGGACATCCAAAAATCCATGAGCATATTAGAGTCTCCAAGAAGAGACCGGGTTTAACCCAACCTTTCCCCAACACAGGGACCCCAGAGCTCTCCCAAGGCACACCTGTGGGCCACGGGCTGCATGGTCCTCAGCTGTTGTACACCCCTGGCTGGGTCAGACAGGATGCCCACCTCCCAGGGCAGAAGACAGACAAGGATCTTGCTTGCCACAGACTTTCTGGGGCTGGGAGACAGCTGCCCCTGGAGTGATACTGTCTCACAGGCTGGGGACATGGGAGGATTCCCGCCTGTTTTTCCCATCCTACCACCCTGTGCTCATGGGCCTCCCACCCTGCGGGCCTCACCAGATCAAATCCCCAGCCTGGCAGCTGTCTAACCTGCCACCCGGAGGGCTCCCTGTGAAGGGAGGCTGACAGACACACAGACACAGGGACACAGACTACAGAAGCACAGGCACGCTGGACGTGCCTGGCCAGTGGGGAGTGCACTTGTCTGACTGTAGCAATGACAGGTGACCTGGCACTGCAGGGGGCCAGACCTGTGGTCAGAGCTCACCGCCATCCCAGCCTCAGCAGGTCAGGTTCTGTCCCTTTCAGTGACAGAGCACCATTTCTGGCTGAAGCTCGGACATGCAATTTCATCTCTGCAGACCAATTTCTCATCTTTCCTAACTCTGGCTTAGCGTGAAGACAGGTACACAGGTGAGAACCCGGTGGCCTGCGCGGCTGCTGGCTCAGGCAGCCTCCCCTGCCTTGCCCCGCACGCTGGCCCCACTGGGCAGCAGCCAGGCTGCGGCAGTTGCCATCTGGGGACAGCGGGCTGCAGGTGTGTATGCCAGACCGCCTGTCCACCTGCCTGCCATGCTCAGGGCTCCCGGCAGGAGGAGGGCAGACTCAGGGCCACCTGTGAAGCCCAGAGGCCAGGAAGCAAAGGCCCCCCGGTGCTGTGACCTGCAGGGAGCCCTTTCTCGAGGATGAGAGGCCACCAGGTGCTGCACAGTGACAGAGACAGACACGGAGCACACGCCAGGCCATGGCCCACCTGCTGTTGTGTGCAGGCCGGGACGCTTACCTAGGGAGAGTCCATTGGTGGCGGCAGAGGAGGAGGTGAGGGCGAGGCCCCTACGGGGGCTGCGGGACTCTAGGACACTGTCATCCAGCAGGTGCCTCGCTTTCTCCGACGGGAATGTTGCACTTTTACTCTCAACTACACTCAACTGACACATCATACTGGAAAATGGAAAGGAAAGAGAAGGCAGAGCCCCTTATCTACTGAGCGACAGCTGTCACACCTGCCCAGGGGTCCTGAGCACATGGTGTAGCTGCAGGGAGAAGATCTCCACCCAGAGCCACAGTCCAAGCCCAGGCTCTGCCCTACTCACAGTGTGACCTTGGGCAAGTCACAGCCTTTCTCTGAGCCTCAGTTTCTCCACCTGTCAAATGGGGATTAATGGCATTTGCCCTGCCTGTGTCCAAGATGACTATGAGGCTCAAGCAAGCGGATGGCACCTGTGAGTGACGGGGCACAGGCATGATGGGGCAGCATGACCCTGTGGTCAGCACGTCTGGCTCTGAAGTCACACACATCTGGTCCAAATCCTAGCTCCAGCCTTACTCACCACTGCAGGGCACTTCACACGTTCACCCGCACTGGACTTGTTCTTAGAATGGACGTGCCAGAGCACCTACCTTGGGCCTGAAGGGGTTCAGTGAGAGAACGATTTACGGGCACGCGGCTGAGTATGCAGCACAGAGTAAGCCCTGAACACTCAGAGAACAGGCGTTTCTCCTCCAGCCCGTGAGGCACCCCAGGGCAGCCTGGGCTGGCTGAGACTCGCTCCTTAGTGGTGGAGGGAAGGAAGGTAGGAAGGAACGGGGGAAGGGAGGGACCCACCTGTTTGGGAGCCTGTGCCCACACCCTGCGAACACAGGCATGGCTGCCCCCAGCTGTCAGCCCCACAGAGCCAGGCTCACTGCTCTGCAGGCCTTCTGCACAACTGGCAAGCAGAGACTCTGAGCCCCAACACTGGCAGGTGCCCTAAGACACCACATGCTGCCCTGGATGGCAGTCATGTTGTCCCATGGACTCTGGGGTTTTCCACAAGGAAGCCCTCACAGAGCTTGGGAGAACTTTCTGGAATCCCACCATCACTTTCCTCCCCTCCCCACATGCTTCCTCCACTGGCTACTGAGGCAGTGATACCCGTCAGGTACGCAGGCGGTGCAGCCGCAGCCACCACCCACCCAGCTCTCCCTGAGCCTGCGCCAGCCTGAGGCCAGGGTGCCAGCCAGGGATACAAGCAACTCCCACAGCCCGTGCTTGGCCGTCCAGTGCCCAAGAGGGCTCGCTTAGTCACCCACTTGTTGCCCAGGCTGTGGCTCTTCCTATGTCTTGGGACCGGGGGTGTGGGGAGGCTGCCAGCAACAGATGCATCGGGACAGGTGGGCCGCCTGCTGAACCTCGCAGAGCTGGAGCCGGAGGGGCCTGTGAACAGAGAGAGAGTGACGGTGGCGCCTGTGGCCCGGGTCTGGGGTGCGGCTGCCGTGGCTTTCTACTCAAGAGGCTCCGGCCCCTCACTCCCAGTACAGTCAGCTTCAGGGGCTGACACCCTACTGGAGGCTGGCCAGTGTCCTGTTCATGGTGCCCCCTGGCCGAGTGCCATGGATGGACATGGGGCACAGATGTGGGGATCAGCTGAGACCCACTTCCCCGTGGTGACTTACCAGGGCCACCAGCCAGGTGACAGAGTTGGGACATGACAAGGTCTTCTGAGTCCAAGTCTCGGACTTGCCCCTGTGGGCTTCCACCCACTCACTCGGCAAAAAGGGATGAGAGCTTATCGGGGAGGCGGCGGGTTTGCTGGTGAGAGCATGGCTCGGGGGCAGGGGCTGCCCCAGCCTGTCAGTCACTGCCGGGTGACCTGGATGGGTCACTGAATTTATTCCCTGAGCCTCAGCCTCCTCATCTGAAAAGTGGGAATAATTCAACTCACTTTGCGATGCTTGGGAGGAGTCCTCGGCACAGTACTTTGCTTCACAGTTAACACTTGTACTTGTTTTATTTTAATTATTGCCACATCCTCCGGCCCCACATCGCGGGGCCAAAAGGAAGTCAGCAGAGCCGGGGGTTGGGCCACAAACCCCACTGTGCACCATGTGCAGGGATGGATGCAGGATCCTTTATGCTGGTCACATCTACATCTGTATTTTGAGCAACGTGGTACTGACTGCTGCTGTCCTCTTAGTTTCTGTGGCTTGGGAAGGGAAGACTTTAAGGGAGGTGACCCCAGGTGCTACTTCACTACTTAGGCCAGACACTGGGAGTGGGGCCAGGGCTCCCGCCAAGGGGCTTATCCACTTCCTGCAGAGCACGTCAAACACATGAATCCAGCAGCTGCTGCCTAGGGGGCCTGAGAGAGAGGCCCGAGGTCCACCCGGGCTCCAGATCTCCAGCACAGGATGCAGCAGATCCACAGAAGACCTAAGGGTTCAGTTCGCATCTCCTCTCATGTGCTCGGATCACCCTTATCTTAGGAGCCCTGTCCCCAGTCTGTCCACTGTGGCAGTCCAGTTCCCTCTGGCACCTGGGGAGGCTCACGAGGCAGAGGAGCTCACGCCGCCTCGCGCTCTGGGTGGGCTGGCGCTTCCAGTGCTATCTCGCCCCCTGCCTGGACCCCACGGCTCCGCACGCATGCCTTCTCCACCGTCCCAAGGCCCCCCATCCCTCTGCTAGGCCCTGGTTGACTTTCTCCACTGTTTCCCTCAACAGCTGTTCCCAAATGCCACCTCTCTAAGTCCCTGCACAAATCATTGACCCTACCTTTCAAACGATGCCAGACTGCACTTCCACGGGAAAACCGTGGTCACCAGCTCGCCTCTCTCTCCGTTCAGGACTTGCAGTTGCCACACACACTCCATTGCAACAGCCTCCCTGCCCGGAACGGGGAACTGCCTCCTCCAAGGCAGACCTGCTTCCTCGGAGACTCGCCTACCACATGCGCCTTCTCACTGGCCCCTTCCCCGGCCTATCTGGTCTCATTTTCTGTGAAATGAGGTCCTGCAGCCCCGGTCCTCCTCTAGCTGGTTTCACCCCCTCAGGCACAGTCCACGCTCCCCGTTGCTCTGTTCGGCCTCTCGCTCCCCCTTCAAGCCACTCAAATCTGGTTTCCACACCTCATTACATTTCGCTGGCCTCCTCTTTGCCAAACCAAAGGACCTCGGCGACCTCCAGGGCCCTTAGCATCTGGTGCTGGGGGCTCCTCGGGGAACGACCCGCATCCTGGGTGCTGGTGAAGTCACGCTCACCGCCTTTCCCTGCGCCTCTTAACTGCTGCTGCTTGTCTCCTCCAATGACCCCTCACGTGGTGTTTCCTACACAGGCCTCCCTCTTTGGTTCCTGGTTTTGATTGGATTGTAACTCAGCCAGTCTTAATGGCAGTCCCCTTTCCCCGAGCCCAAGCCTTACTGATCCCCGGCCGGCAGGCTACCCACCCCCTGAGCTTCCCTAAAGTGCCCAAGCTCAGCTCGGCCCAGGGTGAGCCTGGAACCTCCTTGGGCACTTGCAGCCTTGGTCACTCAGTCCCCTGGCCTGGAAGGAGGCCTCACAGATGGTGACCTGCCTGTTCTCTTCTCACTTGTCACACAACCACCAAAGCCCCTAGATTTTGTACATCACCTCCCTTCCCATCTCTCTTGTCACTGCCTGGGGCGGGCCCCACACTTGACCTTCTTCCTGCCGCCAGCCTGATCCTCTCACATCCAACCCCATACAGTTCGTTTCACAAGTGAAAAAACAAAAGCTGATTGAACTGTCGGTTCAATCAGCTTGGAACTGTCGGTGGCATGGTGTTCAAACCCTGCCTGACCTGGTCACTTAATCCTAAAATCCTGATGGAAGAATAAAGGGACAAAGTAGCCAAGACAATTCTTAAGAAGAATAGCACAGGACTTGCCCTATCAGATACCAGAAGAAAACACAAAATCATAGTAATTTGAACAGTTTGGCGTTGGGGCATGGATAGAGAAATAGCCCGTGGGTCAGAGGTGGGCGCCTGGCCTTGCTCTGCAGCGATGGTGGCATTACCAGGCGTGGGAAAAGGAGGGGTTTTCAGTATACAGGGCAAGAACCACAGGCACCACGTGGAAAAGGACGGAATTAGAGACCTCCTCCTTATTTTATACAAGTGGATTAATGTTGTGAATATGAAAAGGAAAACTGTAAAACTACTAGGAAAGAAAGAAGAGACAATCCTTGGGACCTCAGGGAAAGAAAAGAAACATGAAGCGCAAACACTAAAGGAAAAAACGAATACGTTCAATTACATTAAAATTAAACATTTCTTTATTAAAACAAACAATAAACAAAAGACAGTAAAATCAATGTTAAAAGGCAAGCTGTAGTCTGGAAGAGGGTATCTGTCACCCGTATCACCAGCAAAGGATTCATATCCAGATACATAGAAGGACTTCAAGTATCAGTAAGAAAGAAACGAACCACACAGAGAAAATGGGCAAAGGGTAAAAATGGGAAATTCACCAAAGAGGAACCCCAAATGGCCAATAACTAAGGAAAGATATTTAGCCTTGCAGGTGATAACGGAAATGCAAATTACAGTAAAAATGAAATACATTTTCATTTCATTATATTGTAAGGAAATAATTAGCCTGACAATACCAAGTGTTAGGATGTGGACGGACAGGAATGCCTGTTCAGGGTCCATGTGAGTGTAAAATATTTGGGAAGCAATTAGCAATGCTGGTCAAGGTGAAGATGCCGTGCCTTTGGGGCCCGGTGATTCTGATTCTAGGTATCAACTCCTGGGAAACTCTTGCTTATGGGCACAAGGAGACCCCCTTACAAGGACCTTCAAGGCAGCAGTGTGCGTGACAGCAAAAAGTGGAAACGTCCTCCATGCCCCTCAGGAGGGAAACGGATGAATGAGCTGCGGCCTAGTCACCTAACAAATTCTCCAGAGAAGAAAGAAATGAAGAAACTAGATCTGTGAGCATCAATATAGATGAATCACAGAGGAGCACATGCTAAGTGGAAAGAACAAGCTGCAAAAGAATGTTTCCGTTGATGGCATGATGCCATTTATGTAAAAACTTTAAAAACATACAAAATAATAGTATATATGTTTATATAGAGATATATATGCAGTAAGACACAAAGAACCTACAGAGGAAAGATGAAATGGTGTCAGGACAGTAGATGCTTGTCTGGGGAAGAAAGGGAAAAGACGGGGGAGAGGGACTGTTGTTCTCTCTGAAATGTCATATTACTCAACAGATACAAAGCAAATGTTAACCTCTGTTAAACATGGATGGGAGGTTCAGCGGGTGTTCCCCATGTACTAAATGATTCACGATTTAAGATGAGAATACTTTGAAAACTAGTGAACACCTGCTCTGTGCCAGCAGCTGTGCTGGGATCTTCCATTTGCCCCCAGACCCGCCCTGCACCCTCCTCCAACCCGTGCATGAACTGGAGCCTAGACCAGTGGGCACCCTTCCCTCTGGCGCCTCACTGGGGGTCAGACCCTGGGGAGGGGGCAGGGAGGCTGGGCGCTGCTCCCCAGCTCTCCTGTGGCCGCTCCTGGGAGGCAAGAGTTTCCTCAAGCCCTCTCCACTCTGGTTTAGGTAACTGCTGCCTCCCTGCACTCCTGGAGGCCTAGGGCAGTTACAGGGCCTGTTTCTAGCCCTGGGGTGCAACACTGTCCCAGGGGTCCCCCACACCCTGCCCACATTTTTACAAATAGACCCATTCTGAGACTCTTCTCTGATCACCCCATTTGAGGGTGCCATCTGTGTCCTGCTGCAACTCTGCACCGCCTCCAGGGTTAACCACACAACACCCCCTGAGGTCCGTGTTATTAGCCTTAACTTACAAACAGGGAGGCAGAAGCTCGGGGGGGAGGGGGTTAAGCATCGAGGACTGGGAGCTTGTTGGTAATAGAATCAGGTTCAAGTCTAGGCCCGTGAATCCATGGAGTGAACACCTGACACCACCTTCCCTGCACCTTCTCCAGGCATCGCCCCTCCCACTGATGGGGCCACAGGGCAGCCAATGCCAGAGAAATGTGGCCTTGCCCCAGGCCCTGGCTGGTGGTAGACACCTTCCCAAGGATTTTCAGGTTTGAGACGAGACCATGTTGGAGGACAGTCTCTTTTTGGTGGATGAGAAATAAAACGTAGACACTGCCTATGGCCATGCTTCTCTGCTGGTGGAGCAGGAGGCTGGTCTGTGGTGAGAGGCTCACAGAAAGGCAAAGAGCAGGGTGGGAGGCCCTGTTTCAGTGGCTCCTGAATCCCCAGGACCCCTGCCCTTCCCCTCCTGGACTCCACAGGCCGATGACTCCCCTTTTGGTTGAGGCAGCCAGAGTCTGTACCTGTTCTTTGCAGCCCAGGGAACCTAACGAAGAGGCCCCGCCACACCACACTGCTCCTCAGCGGGCTGCCTGGGGCCGCCTGGCGGCGAGCGGGGAG